TAGCTGAAGAATAAATGACGGATCAGTATTTTAGAGTGAAGACAGATCATGCAGAGTTTGCTTACCCGTGAGCCTCAGTCTGACTCTAAAAAGAGTTGGACATTGACAGAATAAGTGTTCCGCAGTTTATATTTCTTCCTCGTCTTGACAAAGCCTACAATAGTTTGTATCGTCTTAGAGCCGTCGGTATAGATAGCTATACCGCTGAAAGGTGCAGTGTTTGGGTCCAAGTGTCTCTGCAAGGTATGTGGATGTCCAGTGTTTCGAAGTCTAGCCTGAGTTCTCCACATAATTCAATATGACCGAATGTCCGTAAGATTGACTACGCAATTGACCAAGTTCATTGAGTATCAGTGCACATCTCGCAGCTTGTTCCTCTACAAACAAACTTAAGGGTTTCAAGTTAAATAGGGTGTTCAGTGCAGATTGGTGTGAGCTTCTGAGTGCACCTGTAATTAAAAGTGATGCCGCTCTTTGTACTTTGTCAATGTTTTTACTAAGGGAAGCCTTCCCAAGAGAGTACCACCAATCTAACAAGAGCTGTCTGCATTAGGTCTGAAATAGTTTGCAGGAATTTCCCAGCAATCATCAGAACTACGTCGTCCGCGTAAGCAACGACTTTAGTTCTATTGTTTTCCAGATCTATTAATACATTATTTATCACCAGAACCCATAGTAGTGGTGATAAGACCCTCCTTGAGTAGTGCCACTGGTCACTGATTTCCTGACGGAGCACTCCCCTAAGCTTGAGTTGATGATTCCGATGCTGAGCATAACATCAATCCATTCAATGAGGAGTAGTGGTATACCAAGTTACGCACCAAATGTGTAATATCAGCCCAAAATGGATGCATTCTTGTACATTCGGTCAAAATAAACCTAGAAGTGATTACATCAAATTTGCTGCAAATTGATTCGGATAGCTTCGATATATATATGCCACACCCGATTTTAAGTAAGGTCATCTCAAAGTCACACTATAGCAATGATATCTGGTAAGTGAGGTCACATACATCATAAAAATACCTCCGTCAAATTTAGTGGAAATCGATTAAGATTAAGGCAAAACTTCCTTATGTTGGTTCCATTCGATGTCAAAAATACCGTTTAAATGATGACCTTTTAACGGGGCCCATAAGTATTTTTTTGTAATATGGCTGTAGTACCCATTAAAATTTTCAAATACGAAATTAAAAATAATTCCGGCGAATATTGTCGCCAAAATCATGAAAATACCGAATAAACGGAGGTACCGTTATATGGGGACTATACGAAGATATGAAACATCATACAAAATTCTTTGTCATAGGCGGTACTACCCATTACAAACTTCGAATGCAAAATTTGAAACACGATGTAGGATGTCGCTAAAATCGTCAAATCATCCCGGATATCGGGATGTACCGTTATATGGGGGCTTTACGAAAACGTGGACCTGCCTACATTTTTAGGCATAAGCTGCAGTACGCATTACAAACTTCAAATTCGAAATTTGAAAGAATTCGGGTGAATGATGTCGCTAAAATCAATAAAATACCGAATATCGAGAGGTACCGTTTATGAAGTACAAAATACACATGTGTGCAAAATTTTAACCGCACATCTCAATTGGTTCGAAATATTACAACACAGACAGGCAGAGAGACGCACAGACAGACGGACAGAATATATACTTTGTAGGGTCTATCATTAATATTTCGAGTACGGAATGACAAAGCTAATATACCCTCCATAGAATGGTAGAGGGTATAACAAGTATAAATTCGCTGTTACATCCTTTTTGTACCGTGGTAGAAGAATACAGGTTGTCGCATCGACACAACTGCTGGGACAATGAACTGTCAAACCAATTTTGGAATTGAAATTTTTGAATGAAAAATTATTCAAATTTGTAAAAATTGTTAAAAATGCATAAATTGGCGTCGTATAGGAAAACATATACAAATCTCCTTATTTTTGAAGAAACATTTCAAAGTCTTTGGCATAACAAGGTTCCCAAGCGTTGATGCATCTACCTGTATTCTTCTAACATGAATTTTACCATGAGCAATACCATGTTCTCATTGGTCTTTTAACCACATCGTTTCCTTTATGATATAAAAAAAATTGTAAAACTAGTAGATTCTTGTAATGCTAAGTTCCCATCACACGTGATTATATCTCTATTCCTTGTTATATAATTAATTATTACTATTTTTACCCAAAAATAAATTATAACATTTTAAAATACAAAATAAAAAAATTGTGTAAAAAATTTAAAAAAAAATTAAGAAGAATAAAAACCATGAATGGGATTTATATGCTCTGCTCCAGAACCTGCAAGAAACTACATTTTTGCCATTTTTTCGACATAATAATGCGAAAATCGGTTATCGTAGTAAAAACTTTTATAGCATGTTTCCATTGGAAACCGAACAACGTTGTTCGCTCTCAGAATTAGGTACACGAATTAACCCGTTCATACGGCACGATTCGTAATTCATAGTAAAATAATTCCTTTTTTCAAAAATTTTGTTTGTTGGTTTTAATGGGAATTTTAATAAATTACATTAAATTCTCACTAATATGAATAGAATAAATAATTGTTTTTCTCCCAAAGATTTATTATATCAATGATTTTATAATTTTCATTCACGTTTTCAACTTGTTGTGTAAATATTGACATTTTGAATATATTTTTGTATTTTTCTATTTTTTAATTCTGCTGGAGAGACACTTGTCAAACATTTTTTCTGTCAATACAAACATTTGAAAATATTGCCTCTTTTGTTTGCAGTTTTCTGTGAAAATTTCAATTCGTGGACAAAATGCGTACCTCGGATGAGAGAGAAAACAAAATTTACTTTCGTTTGAATGTAAATACGCTATTCAACATTGTAGTTTTTATTCATAATTTTCAGTCTTCCCAAAATTTTTCAAAATTTCATTAAATTTTTCTATTTTCAATTTTTAAATGTCATAATTTATTTTTTCGATAAATGCTCTCATTTGTTAGGGATGGAACATGGTAGAAGAATATAGGTAGACGCATCGACACAGCTGCTGGGACAATGAAATGTCAAACCAATTTTGGAATTGAAAATGTTGAATGAAAAATTATTTAAATTTGTAAAAATGGTTGAAAAACACGAATTATAATAACCTCCGAATGACGTCGTATAAAAAAAAAACATATAAAAATCTTATTATATTTGAAAAGACATTTGAACATTTTTTGACATATCAATGTTCCTAAGCGTTGATGCATCTACCTGTATTCTTCTGCCATGGGATGGAACATATTTTTTCGTTGTTCTGAGAGTTATTTGATTTGAACAATGTACAAATATGAGTGTTCGCTCAGGAAATTTTGTGTGAAGAATTAAGTAGTTTTTTCATAGTTAAGGGTCAGACAACGAATAGAGAGCGAATCAAGTGCAGTGGAAACGCCACATTACATTTTTGCTGTTCTGGAATAGACCTATAATGTTGAATGGTGTATGTTCATTTAAACGAAAGTAAATTTTGTTTTCTCCATCATCCGAGGAAAAATTTTCAATTTTTTTATTTAAAAAATTTGGCAAGTGTCTCTCCTGCAGAATTTAAAAACATAAGAATATATTAAAAAAATGAATGAAAATTGTAAAATTAATGATAAAATAAATCTTTTGGAGGAAAACAGGGTACATAAGCATAAGGCGTCATGGATAGGTATATCCATGGTACAATGAAGAGAAGGTAGGTCAACTTTGAAAAAATTGCAAGTATAGAGGTCTACCTGTTTGGTTTGTAATGTCTGAATTACTATCAAAACAACAAAAAAGCAAACAACTTGTTGCATTGATTTTGAATAAATAATTTAAAACCGCGAAAACTGAATGAATGGTCAAAATTTCTTTTCAATATCATATTCTATATATCTCTTATGGTTTATTTCGCGACAAAAACTGTAGATTTTGTCGATGCATTCGTTGCAATAAGCATTTTGAAAACATCCCAATTTGAATATTTTCTGAACAATTTTTTATTATTAAAAAGAAGACACACACATAAGCAAATGAAGTTGACATATTAAGCCAGAAAAATAAAAAAATTTAAATCATATGGTAGTTCTGCCCTACCTTGAATTCATTGTACCATGGGTATATCAATGTCAAATTATAAAGGGAAACGACGGTGCGGCTCCGGCATTCCTTTATGATGTGTCATGCGATATTCAATTCTTGTTTCGTGTGCTTACACCATTTTGAGAATTTTGTTAAAAAAAAAATAATAATAATAAACAAAACCAATTGTTGCATATTTAAAAGTCTATTTGACACTACAAGACTCCAGCAGAGGATTGAATTTTTCTAGTTTCTTTGAAGTTGAGCAACCTTACTTATTGAACCATAGTTATATGTGCGCTATGGGAAAACGTGGACCTAAATATTCAATGCTCTGCTATCGGAGCTAGAACCTATTACGAACTCCAAATACCAATTTTTAGACAAATCCGTCGAAAATCATCAAAATACCGAATATCGAGAGGTACCCTTATATAGGGGCTTTACGAAATACCGAATATCGGGAGGTACCCTTATATGGGGGCTTTACGAAAACGTAGACTTATATATAAAATGTTCCGCCACTGGAGCTAGAACCCATTATGACCTATAAATACCAATTTTTGGTATTTGACTCTGCGTTAAATAATGTGGACTGTATCGTGATTTCAACAGACAGATAACCACTTTCATTCAGAATTCGTTCCTGTAACATGTCGGTATACAAGGCAATTATTTGCAGCAATTTTCTTTTTCATCATTGCCTTTGTTTTATTTGTAATCATATTTTTGTAGAAAAATAAAAGCACAAAAAGAATTGCCAGAAAATTGCAAGAACTAGAATTTCCCATTTCACTTAGGCTTCTCTCCTACAAAAAGAATTGCCACAAGAAAATTCGAAATTTCCAGTTCCCACGGATACCACATGATGAAGCGACCTATTACACAAACTTAGTTAATCAGCTGTTTGTGACATTTACTTCTCTGCTGTCAGCAAATCTCTGTCGCCGTCACTGTATTCAATTACTTCAATTCCATTAAACGCAGCATTTCAAAAGCAGAGCATTCATATCATAGACTGAGAGCAGAGACCAACGTACGCGGTTCCTAAACGCGAATAGGAAAATAAAACAAAAATAATAACAATAAACAGACAAAATTTAAAAAAAAAAAAAAAACAATCAGTGATTATACAAAATAATAAACCAACGACAATATCAAAGAAAAAAACGTAACAACAAAATTAACGGTTTATGTGTTCATAGCGGTTTAGAAGACTTGTTTGTGCAAAAAGTAAAACTTAACGAAATTTTTAAAGAACTTTCTGGAACAGAAAAAGTTGAAAAATTACAAGAGTTTTCAATACGCATTAGTTAGTGAAACATAAATCACTCCAAGCAGAATAAAGTAAGTGAGCGAGAGAAAGAAAGAAGTGAGAAGAAAAACACAACAAACATACATAGATAAAAATAAAAACAAACATATACTCACACACTCTCCATAACATCAACTCAGGCCGATTGAGAGATACACAACATCATAAAAACCACAACAACAACAATAAAAACAAAAATACAAAATTTGCAAATTGAAGTGTGTCACCGCAACAGAATAAAGCAACAACAAAACGATAGATAACAACGAAACGAAGTGGTGTAAAACGTTCGTAATTTGTTGCAAACTAATAATCTTTGAAATTTAAATAAATAAAATAATACAAAATAGAAATTCCGAGAATTTTTAAATTGCAAATATCACAACTACAACACATAAGCAGCCCCATTTGTTCCTTTGTTTGTGTTCTAAACTTTCCAACATTTCATCAATTGGCTTGGCGGTCGATGGGTTATTAACTTTGCGCAAACAGCTGGTGTGTTTCCTCAAAGTTTCCACCTTACATTTACATAAATTGTCCCACTCCCCTTTCTCCCGGCTCATTTACCTTTCGTTTTTATATACATCCTTGAAAGGACCTTTATTTTTTGTTGTTTTTGTTATTTGGTTTTATTTTATACATTGATCTTACTTTCTTGATTTTTGTTGTTGTTTAATTTTCATTTATTTTATTTCATCCCAAACATTTCCCGCATTCCCCTGAACACAACCAACCTGCATGTTCCTTTGGTATCCGCTGTTACAGTGTTCTTATCTCTATGACCGTTTACTACAATCACAGTTTCTGCAACAAGTCTTTGCCGAATTTCCTCACGCACTCGGTAACATCTTTGACCGCCAACACTTAGTCCAAAGTTTAATCACGATGTCAACAGCATTCCTGACGGCAATAGCCGTGATCCTTTGCATTCTATTTCGCATTTTGAACGTTAACAGTCAACCGCTGAAACCGAGCGTATGGTCATTGGATCAACAGTTCTTGGATTGTTTGTATAAAATTGCTCCCGTTTTAAAAGAACCGTAAGTATTGATCCGATTCAAATTATAGACATATCATTAAAATATTATAAGTTATTTCATATGTTTTCTTCCAAGTAAGTTTGCTTTGATCGGTTTATCGATAATTGAAGTGGGCAAAGAACATGTATGTATTGCTATTCGGATATTATATACATACAATTCTGTAAGAACAAGTAGGCCACCTGTCGATATGATTTTCTTGGGGAAGTCCATACTCTCCTAATTATTGGTCCCTAATGTTTCGTTATTACCTGGCATATTTCCAGTATTGGTAAGGCCAACCAATGCAGACTACGTGACTAAAGCTTCTTTAAAAAAGTAAATTTTCCTTATGGTGTGGGTATATAAGGGGCTTGAAGTTTTCACATGACATATTTAGTGACATATCACAAAGGGATGCTAAAACTGCACTCGAATCCTACCGTCGTTTCCCCTTATAATTTGACCTTAATGTGCCTAGCCATGATACCAAGATGCTTATGTACCCTCACCTTTACTTATTTGAGATAGTATTACAAGTATCTAACAACCTCCACTATGTCAAATATGAACTTTATTCGGTGGGAAAGCGACTACTGCACTCGGAAGGATTACAACGTAAGGTACTGTAATCGACAATCGAATGTATAGGCTATAAAATGTGTTAAGCGTCCAGGGGAAATTCCCGACCTATATCCAAAGGAGAAGTCAATCAAAGCCGCAGGTCTCTCGTAGAAAAAGCATTTAAATTCATAAGCATTTAGAAATCCGTTCTTCAATACGAAAGAAGAAATCCGATGTTTAAAATTTCGGCTACCTTCGCTGTAACCAAAAATCTTCTAGAGTGAGTAAGGTAGTTTTGGCTATGCAAGACGTGCAGGGTATTGTGCGTCGGGCCTTCGTTTCGCACATCTTGTATACGAATTGACACGGCTTCACCATCCGGAACATATGGTTATGTTGCCGTACGAGAAGGATGTTCGCCACCTTATGAAGATGATCCACTGGCGTCGTCTGTTGCAATTCTCAGGGCAGCATTCTGACAGGGCTGGTAATTTTTCTACTGCGTAGCACTTGCATTCGCATACTACACTGAGCCGCAGATCAACCTATCGCGTTATAAGAGGCCAATTAGGTCTCCTTCTGGTCTGTACCCGGCAAGCCATGCCGGCTATCGCCTTGAGCACTTTGTTACTACTTTTAATTATACCCTCCACCATAGTAAGGAGGGTATATTAAGTTCGTCATTCCGTTTGTAACACCTCGAAATATACAAAGTATATATTCTTGATCAGCATAAAATTCTATGTCGATTTAGCGATGTCCGTCCGTCTATCCGTCAGACTGTCTGTGGAAATCACTCTAGCTTCCGAACGAAATGAAGTAGGCTGATAAAATTTTACTCAAATGTATATTATGTCTGCAGGACTTTTGGTATTGAAAATGAGCCATGTAGATCCACGTTTTGGTATATCCCCCATATTATGGTATCTCCCTATTTTCGTTATTTTGATGATCTTAGCGACATTATTCCCGGAATTGTTTCAAATTTAGTATTTGAAGTTCATAATTGATATTACAGCCTATGACAGAAAATTATCTGTGCAGGTCCGCGTCTTCGTATAGCCCCCATATAACTGTACCTCCCGATATTCGGTTTTTTGATGATTTTAGCGACATTATTCACCGGAATTGTTTCAAATTTGGTATTTGAAGTTCGTAATGGATACTACAGCCTATGGCAGAAAGTTGTCTGTGCAGGTCCACGTTTTGGTATAGCCCGCATATAATGGTACGTCCCGATATTCGGTATTATTTATCGAATTTTTTCAAGTTTCGCATTTGAATATTGTAACGGCCTATGACAAAACTTGCCTATGCAGGTCCATGTCGTCGTATAGACCATAATATAACGGCACATTCAGCCGTGTTAAAAAGTGTGGCCGTTGACTTAATGGTAGATATTTTTTTCCTCGCTTAGAAGGATGCGGATTTTAATTTATAGATGATTCAACAACGGCTAAACCTCCCCTCACCGTCCTCAAAAAAACTTCGTAATTTATTTTACTGGCGAATCCAAAGCTGTCTACGCGTACGAAATTCTAGCTTTAGTTGTTTAAAACTTTCACCTCAGCTTTAGAAAAAACTATGTTATGCTTGAAATCACCGATGATCTCAGGTGAGGCTTTATGTCAAAAGCATAATCCAAATTGTGTCAGTGTCCTTTGATAGACGATAATTTTTCCAACAGAAGCAAACCAAAATATCCCGATTCAGCTATTACTTATTTTGATAGCCTATAATGTGTGATCCCTGTTTAAATTACTTGTCAAAATCTAGAATGTGCCAAATATTACTCTCTCTCTCTCTCTCTCCCCATCTCTACGCTGATTATTAAAAAGAACACGCCACTATTATATTCTGTTTCGATAACATTCGAATGTATTAATGAACTGTTGTGCATCTCGCTTATCATCACAAAGGTTGGTCTAATTAATCCATATCAACAGCATTCATTCGTCGTTCTGTCTGACAAGCCAATCGTCTGGTTTTGATTCTGCATTTAACATGCAAACAAATTCTGAAGTCTGTTGCGAGGGCAAATTCCATTTGTCCGATATGACGCATAGCTACTTATACATACATATGTATTATTTTGTTTTGGTTTTAATTTTATTCCGATGTAGATACGAGCACATTTTCTAGCAACAACAAAATAGCCGGTAAAACACTTGAATAGCGTTTTTTATTTTTGCAAAAAAGAGCTGGCTTGTCGCTTTGATGATAGTGAATATTTGTTGGAACAAAACAGAAGAAATAAGCAATTCGTTTTGTTTTGTGTTCACTTAAAAATTATTACGTAATATTTGTTTATATTTTTTGCAAATAGTTGTATTTTAATCTATAGAGTTTTATCGATGCCTTTGCGCTGTGTACCTAACAAAACAATACTCATAGGTAGATGGAGTTTTTTTTAAGTTTAAAATCACTAAGAGGATTAATTTTTTCGTTACAGGTCGTGGCTGGTACTGTCGAATATATACTGCACTACTATACTACTGTCGAATTGCCAGAGAATTGGGAAATTTGATTTTTTAATTCCGAAAATGTTAATGAACATTAATATTGATAACGATTTTTATACCCTCTATATACATTTTGTTTAACACCCATGCTACGATGCCGTATGTTATTCGTTATTTATAACGGTATATATTTGGGTATTAAATATTGGAAATGTTGTTTTCGGAAAGTCTTTGTTTTCTCTTGTCCGAGGACCAAGTTTTTCTATAGCCTCCATTAAAGAGCATCTCCTGAATTGAGGTATGCTGATGGATTTGATCACAGTATCCAAACAAATCATCGGCAATTTTTTCAGTTTCTCACTTTTTAGTTTAACTTCCCTCAGAAAATACTCGATATAGGATCGTGGGAGAACCCATAAGTTACATACAGGGTGAGATGAAAAAACTGCAACCAACTTCAGACTGCTGCCATTTCAAAGCCACTCGTCCGACAGCTGTTAAAATTATTCCAATGACAGCTCATTATATTGTTTACAAGCGTACAAAAGCCGATGGTCGCTCTCCCCTCTTATTAATCGACCGTGGCATCAGAATAAATGACGAATATTATCGCGAAAATATTCTGGAGGGCGTATAAAAGTCTTGGGCAAGCCATTTGAAGGCCATAATTCGTGCCATAGGTGACCAATTCGAACAAATCTAAACTTAATCTAAAATTGTGACATTTTTTGCTTTCACTCAATAAAATTAAAACAAATGTAAAAATTATGACGTTTGACTTTGTTGCAGTTTTTTTTTTATCTCACCTGTGTTGAAATAACAACCTAGGGTCTAAGGTCACTTTGGACCAAGTCCGTTTCGGGACATTTGGAGTCGGTCTAGCGATGTCCGTCCGTCAGTCTGTCTGGCTGGCTGGTGCGCACAATAACTCTCGAAGGAAATATCCAATTTAATCCAAACTTGGTACATCGTAATATTATTGTCAACCTTAGATCGAGTTTGGAGATGAGCAATATCGGTCCACCTTTTTTGGTACCTCCCACACAAAATGTCAACATTTTTAAAGAAAATAATTTACTGCACAGAAAGAGAAAGGATAATCCGATTTTACTCTAACTTTGCGAGGTGCGAAAATGGACAATATCGGTCCACTCCATCAAGTACCTCAAAATGTTGAATAATTATAACTCTTATAAAATGTGAGAGTCCGATTGTCTTCAAATAACACACATATCAATATTTGTATTAATCCAAGGGCTGGTGTGAAGATGGAATATATCGGTCCACTCCTTTTGGTGCCTCCCCCACAAAGAGTCAACATTTTGAATATTCATGAAGCTCATAAAAGACGAAATTAACATCCGATTTCATTCAGAGCAGGCACATCTCAATATTTCCATAAACACAAGATCTGTTATAAATATGGTAGAGATCGGAACATTTCTTCTGGCATCTCTTCTTTTGCTAACACAACATCCGTTGTGAAGATGATTTATATCTGTCACCCCCTTCTGGTACCTCACCCACAAAGGGTCACAATTTCCAATATTTATATCTGTCATAAATATTTCTCTTGACCAGAAATTTGATATAAATATGTTATTTATCGAAATTTATGATTTCGCATAAAATTGGACATAAATGTTCGATTTCCATCAAATTTTGCACATACCAATGTTTTTTATCTGTATTAGATGGTGTATAAAAATGGAATACTTCGGTCCGCTATATCTGTTACCCCACGAATATTTCCACATTTTCCAAAATTTGTACATATCTCATATAAGGTATAGGAAGTAGTCGATATAGTCCAAATCTGGCACGTTGAAATATTTTTATCAGTCTAAGGTCAGATACGAATTGGTCAACTGCTCCGGAACCTCCCCCATAGAGGGTCAACAGTTTGACCGACTGATACTATTTTACTTGTTTTGATAACATCCAAAGTAAATAATTATCTCTTGACCCCCACTTCGGTCCACGATTCACTGGCGA